GAGCAGTATCATGTGATCAAATTACATACACATTATTTATGGATACTATTAAACACCTTTGATTCTTAATCTGAATCGGACTTAGATGAATCTGTTAACTCTTTGCCGTGCTCTAAGCCAGTTTGCTCTTCTATATAATTTCCTATCCAGTCTACAATTCTTTCAAGTCTTTTAAACTGAGAATTAAGTTTATCCACTTTTATCATTAATGCTATATTTCTCCAATAAAAATACTGGATTTTTTATCAATTGCTAGAGACGCTCTTGTATGATGATTGAGTTCTGATAACTTCATTAGCTCTTTTACCATGCCTTTCTCATACTCGCTATATATGCTATTAGATAATTGCTCTTGTTTGCATTCCATTATAGAGAAGTATTCTGTAATCAAATATTATTATACAAAAAAAAAATATATAATAATACTCCTGAGCATTTTGTTGCTCAACCACGCTATGTCTCTTCTTTTACTAATAGCTTATTGGGAAGAGCTAGCTATGTAAGACATACATTCAATATGATATTTCTCTGGGAGCTTTGCCTTTATAGCTCTTTTTTCGGCTACTTCATGGGAGATACCATTTTTGATCATATTCTTATATACCATAATAGTCCAATGTCCATAAGGCAAGCCAGTTATCCCATCTGATAATATCCAACGTTTAGTATCTATGGGGGAGAGAGCCTTCTTCTCAGACTCGACCAGAGATATTACATGATCTTTTGAACGGAAACCTATATTCTTGGCATAGAATACTTCCTTACCAAAGAGACAGTCCCGATATACTAATGTCATAGGATCTGTCTCAGTTCGCATGATCAAGTCTCTAGCCTCTTGCTTTGACAGTGATGACCTATCTACAGGATCATTTAACAAGGAACCTTCAGTCGCAGGTGACTTACATGATATAATTATATCATGTAAGTCACCTGCGACTTGCATTAGGTTATGAAGGTAACTTCATAGTCTACTGGTATCTTCATAATATAGTGGTAACTTCATAGTCTGCTGGTATCTTCATAATATAGTGGTAACTTCATAGTCTACTGGTATCTTCATAATATAGTGGTAACTTCATAACATGCTGGTAACTTCATAACTTATCAGTAACTTCATAATATAATGGTGATATCATAATCTAATTACACGATCTGGTGGTAACATCATAACCTACTATTCATAATCAGAAGGTAATTTCATAACCTACTTATGGGTAGCGTCTTTGTGTTTATAACATTGTTTTAATCGTTTCCTGTATATTATGGTGGTGATTTCATAGTCTAATGGTGGCTTGGTAGCTTTGTTTTAATGGTGATGTCATAATCTAATAGTGACTGCTTTCTTCTCGTTCCTAATTCGTTTACATAATAAATTCTTCATTGTTGGTATTGGCTTTCCATCCTTGTTTGAATGTCTGGTTCCATGTTGAGGATACTGGCCTCCTGCACCTGACTGAGTGCTAGATTTTATATTAAAGTGCTTACCCTTTGCGCCTATTTGGTTGCCTGTTAAAATGCCAAATTGTGGTAAAAAAAATCGTGTCGGGTGGCGCAGTAGATCTGCGATTAATTTCGGCCAGCACTATACCATAATTTTGGCTGATCTTTTGGGCATGTGATTTGAGGATCCTGGAATTGGCAGGGAGCTAGAGTGGTTCTATTAATTCGCCAGTTTCAGATCACTTATATTGCCAGCTTGGATGCCAAGTTCTTATGCCCAAAGATCTGGTCGAAATTGTGGAATAGTGTTGGCCGAAATTAAGCAAAAATAGACTGCGCCTTACTGCGCCACAGTCACGTGATACTGTTCCAGGCCAGAACACCCTTACATAGTTGCTAACGATCAGCTAAAAAAATTCGGCCAGAAATTATGGTATAGTGTTGGCCGAAATGATAGACTAGTTACATGCTAGTAACTGGCACTTTCCCGGCACTTCCTCGTTACTTTCTCGCAACTTTCACGTAACTTTTAAGGTGTTGCCGGCATATTGGCGGGATACTGCAAGCACTTATGAGGTCCGATTGTGGTTTAAACTGGGTCGAGGCAGTGTGTATGCCAATTTTTGAGCATCCCTAGTGTCCTTAGTGTCCTTAGTAAAAAATAAACCTCTAGGAAAAAATTCAAAACTTTTCCTATGCTACATATGTATGCTATAAAAAATCCGTCCTAGGGCAGAAATTTTACTGGACCACTTCCTAAGGCAGAATTTGTTATAGGAGAAAGTGTTCTTTTCTCGATTCAACTTGTTCTTGTATTATCTTCCCTAGGTGCCCTAGGTGTCCTAGTAAAAATGGAGTTCTATAAAAAAATTGATTTTTTTCTATGCTATATACTGTATGTATGGTATATGTATGCTATATACTGTTATATATGTATGCTATATTTTTGCAATACCCATAGATAAAAATAAATAAAAAGTAAAGAAGTCCGATTTACCTAGGGCACCTAGGTCACCTAGGGCAGATGTTTGAAAAAGCATTCTAGCGGTCTAATAAAGTTAATTTGCTATTTTTTAAGCGTCCTAGGTCAGAAATTTTACTGGACCACTAGGTCACCTAGGGCAGATTTTTCTGAGGCATTTAGTTTCTTCCTATGATAATATTCTTTCGAATGATACTTATCTACATGTAAACTACAAAACCCATGTTTAGAAGCCGTCGGTCTTCTACATCCATCTTGTTTACATAAAGCTCGCCGGCGTCTTTTCCAATGGATTTTGCATCCTTCTTCTCGATCAGAATTTCGTCCACACATGTCCCCTTCATTAGAAAGATGTTGGCAGATAAATTCGCCTCTCATTGCGTATCTCCTATATTTCTATAATTATTTTTTATTTAAACTTTTTTCCCAGGACAGTATATCCCGAGTTTAGGATATAGTATACCTTTCAAAAGTTATCTAAAAAATGATCCAATCCGAGCTTTCAGAGTTCCTCGACGCCCCCGCCCCGTACAAACAAGGTTTTAAAGCCGAAGATATCGGCGAATGCTTATATAAAATTCGTGATGATAGTGTTAGACCAAGACATTTCCTTGGCGCAGACAATGAGGATGAAATAGAAGCCATACTCTCAGATCGCGAGGGTCATTCCTTACACGAATTCATCGATGGGGATGAGCCTCTCCGGCCTATCATTGATTTTGACTTACCTGTAGAAACATTAGATGCTATAACTCCCCAGCTTTCACGCAAACAGGCGAAAAATTTATTATGTTGCGCTTTTAGAGATACTTGTCTAGAAATTTCCCCAAAATGGGATAAAGAAACTATGTCTATTGCCGAAAGTAGTGATGAGAAAAAAATATCTCTACATGTCTTAACTTTCGGTATGAGACTTCCAAATATTGCTCGGGTCGCGATGTTCACTGAGCTTATTCGAAAAAAACTTCCGACAGCTCTACAGGCAAATAGCATTATCGATAACATAGCGAACAAACGTTCATTTTCATTGCGGATGCTTGGATCGCCTAAATATAATGAAAAAACAGAGGAACACATTCGTGTGAAAAAAGCTATTCGTCCAAAAGATGGAACTATCTTCGATTTCATGATTCGACCACCCAATGACGAATCAGAAGTCATCAACAACAGTCCTCTCTTAGATATTCCAGAGTCGGAAGTTAAAAGATTCCAAGTGAAAAATAATGATATAGTTAGCGAAACCACTGAAGCCGAATTCGAAGTGGTAGAAGGATTGCTTCAAAAAGCTAGCATCGAAGGGTATAGTCTCTCATACCCATCTGAAAACTTTCCTGACAAATTTCCATTATCACGCATCTCTCCGTTGCACTGCCCAATATGTGACCGAGAACATGATAGTGATAACGCCTATATAATATGAAATAAAAAATCCTACAGCTTTTTCTGCTACCGGCAAACAATGATAGGGAACCCGGCTCCAGAAAACCTTCGAAAAAACTTACTATTAGCGAAACAGCTTTAGATAGAGAGAAAAAGCTTCAAAGTCCAGTGAAAAAGGACCGATCCAGAATTTCAAATCCAAATGACTATTTCGTATGGTGGGACTTATTATGTATGTGTACTTCAGGTAAGAAATTCTCCCGCGCCGAAGTTTATGAAGCTATTCAAGCAATAGTTGCCTGCATACAAGGAACTTCAAAATTGTGGCTCATTAAGCGTGAAGATAGACAGAATGGGCTTTACTTTTATATGGGAGCTGAACTAAAGCTTGCCGATTTCAAGATTGAAATAATCGAATATGGGGGTGAATCTGTGAAGTTAAAGTCATTGATAGACCAAGCAGTTACTAGGGGTCTAATAATTTATAAAGATTGGAATTTCCTTCCATATTCGATAAATATCCTCCAACCGGATACAGATTTCTTTAACCTTTTCCTAGGATTTTTGGCTAAGCCAGCGCCAGAAATTAATAAAGAAATTATGGATCCGATTCTCTGGCATACGAAGAATATAATCAGTGATGAAAATGTGAAACTTCATGAATATCTTTGGAATTGGTGGGCCTATTTAGTGCAGAAGCCAGAAGAGAAACCTCGAACAATCATAGTCCTAAAATCCACACTACAACAGTGCGGAAAAAACATTATTACCGATTTTATTGGTGATAAAGTCTTGGGGCGACATCTACATTATGCTACATCGGATTTGGAGAAAATTCTTGGACGTTTTAATAGCGCCATTCAAGCTCGAAAACTTATTGTTATGAACGAGACTGGAATGTCTAGTGGGGATTGGCATAGATTTAATGGGCATCTCAAATCTCTTATAACGGAAGGAATGGTGACTATAGAGCGCAAGGGTCTCGAATCTAAACGATTAGATGATTTCGCCGGGTATATGGTTACAAGCAATCAAGATGCCCCGATCAAGATAGATATAGGAGATTCTCGTGTAGTCTGTTATGATGTTTCGTCACGCTGTAGAAGTAATACAGCATATTTTAAAAGACTACGAAATGTACTTAACCATCCTGATGCGCTTGGAGTGGTTATGAAATATCTCCTCAGTCGTGATATCTCCGATTTTGAACCTCAAGAAATTCCTGCAACTAAAATGAAGGAAGAAATAATGCGAGACCAACTCCCTAATCCTGTTCGATTTTTAATTAATTATATTGCATCTTGGGGTGAGGGTGAGATAGTCAAGCCAAAGCGCACATCATTATATCAGACTTATCTTGAATGGTGTGGAGAGAATGGTGAAAAACCATTTTCCGATAGTAATTTAGGAAAAAAGTTTGCGTTCTATGGAATTGACCGAACTCGTTTACAGACAAATGGAAAAAGAGAGTATCATTATATTCTTGACCGCTCCAAAATCGTAGCCAAGCTTCGTGAATCTGGTTTAGGTGATATGGAAGAATTTTCCGATATACCTCAACCTGACTTACCCGAAAATGAGACCACAGACATACCTATATTCAATGTGCCGGAAATTATCATTCCTCCAAAAATAATCCCGTCTTAGCCAGAAAAGAACACGCCTTCACCTAATACCGGTAAAGACAAGAAGGCAGATAAACAGGATGGAGGGATCCAGGACCTTTTCGACTATGTGGCAGAAGATACACGTGCTCCAGTCGCCTCAACATCTGAAACTATCAAGCTTCCTGAATCTATTGAGCCTATCAACGAAGTGGTAAGTATGCCTCCCAAAGAGACCCCAACCGATTCTTCCAAGCCTATCAATCAAGTATCATCTGCTATACTCCTAGCTAGACAACAGCGCGAAGAGCGCCTCAGAAAATAGGCAGTCGAGCTCGGTGAGGATCCAGATGTCTTTGTGACCATCACCGAAAAAGACAGGTTCGATTCTATTGGATTCTGAGATAGGATGGAAACTGACTCTCGGATGTGTGGTTGGGCTATAGAAACAGAAGATGATCCCAAAGAATATATGGAGATGACAGTGCGGGAAAGATTGATAGGAGAAGAAATAATCCGCCGTTCTCTCGAGGAAGATGGGATCATATCCTCCTGGCTTGATACCGATGAGAAATGGAAAAAAACAGTAAGCATACTCCAGGAGAATGGTATGCTTTGGTAAAGAGCGAATAAGAAGCCGGTTTATAAGAAAAGTGTTCAGGTAAGAGGTCTTTATGTTCTTTACATATAGACGATATAAAATTCTAAATTATTATTATTTTTTTTTCGCATATCCTATCTACTCGCAAATTTCAAATCGAAGTAAAACTCCCCAGCCGGAGTGGTTGGCCTCATAGAGAACCCGTAATAAGTTATATCATTATTTTTTCGCTCCTACAATCCTCCGATAGTTTTTACCGACCATAAAGCAGTGAAATGTCAGAATATTTTTTTCGAATTGAACTTTTTCGGATATAGAATAACCTAAGGGTTGTACATAATCTAGTAGTTACTTCACAAGCTATATCTACACAACCATATCCGCAATTGTAACAAAGTACGTTGCAGAACACAAACTCAGTAAAGATATGAGTGATGAAGAACTTAGCCAACACGTCCCAGCATTACTCGAGCTTTTGACAGATAAACTGAAAAGAGACAAGGGCCGTCAGCGCTTCCAAAAAGGGTATAATTTTAGTAGAGAGCAGGCATTTATATTAGTTCCTGATCAGAGAATTTGTCGAAGTAGAAGTCGAGTAACCCCAAAAGAAGGAGGGGATGAAGCAGGGGAAGTTAATATATGCCAAGTATCTGACATCATCCCAGACGGAGAAACCATCGAAAGTATATCTCAGCGTATTGTCCGAGATAATCTTAGTGAAAAAGAAGTAAAGGCGATAGCCAAGGCTTTAACTGTAACGTCCCCTAACCCTGTCGCCACCACATCCCGTCTTAGTAGGCTCCGAAGAGAGTTGCGGTGACTTAATGCCTCAGAAAAAATAATCTCTGCTACATTAGACGACAAAACAACCTGCGCATCTAACAAGATTCAAAAGGAGCGTAGGGTTCAACGTGAAAATGAAGGGATCGATTTTCCAGACCACTTCTCGTTAGAATCAGTTAAAGAAAGATTGGATGGGTATGACGTATCCAATGCACCCAATCTACAAGCTCTAGCAGATGTAATGATAATGCTCTGCATCCGTCCCGCTGAAATTAAAGACTTGCGCATTTCTAATGGAAGTGTAACTGGGTATTCAAAAAACCGAGAACAGCAGGATAATCCTCGGGTATTTAGATCGTTAGAAAGAGATGAAGAGCGGGCTAAACTTCTCCTTACTTGGATTCAGGATGCAATTTCTTCTGGACAGTTAAGGGATCCAGGAGTGCGAGGAGTTAAATGGTTTAATACATTTCTGAAAAAAGATAGATTTCTTCCTGAAACTGGTAAACCACTCCTCCCTAGCTATTTGCGCAAATTAGGGGCGGTATTTGCAGTCATTTCGAATGGTGCGAAGAATTTATCAGAGGCTATGACCATTGCCAGTCAAGCCCTTCGACATTCACCAGACAACCATGCCTCTCCAGCGCAAAACTATACAATAGTAAATTACCGAAAAAGAGGACAACCTTATGATCAGGGAGAGGTAATCAAGATCTTCGATGAAAACTAATCGTATAGCGGATTAGAGGGTCGGGAGGACTGATTTATCAGTCTGATATCATTTATTAATTTTATTTTTTCGTCCGAGGCAAGATATAGCATATAGAATATATCGCAAAAATGGTAACCGATCAAAAGCATTCATCTGATATATCCAGCGAGCAGGAAGCTATCAGATATACAGAAAAATTAGCCCAGGCATTTGGACTAAACGAGCAAAATGCAGAGATGTATAGTACGCTTTCCGGTGAAAATAGGTCACTAAAGAAACAATTGGAAGATTATCATTCCCAACATAACAGTTTAGAAAGGAGGGTAAAAAGACTGGAAAGAGATGTAGGATCCTTAAAAATCAAATTACAAGATCTGGACGAATATGTGGATAGGGAAACTGTGGTCGACTTAATACATGAAATAGTTCCCACACTGATTAATAAAAAAAGTAGGGGTTCTTCCTATTCGTCCGAGTCTTCTGAGGAATCTGATTCGGAAAAAGATTCTGAAGCGCCAAGCCCAAAGGAAAGATTCAGAAGAAAAATGCATATAGTAAAAAATAAAAATAATTAGTTAATAGACCTGAAGACTCTGCTCATCCTACGAAATTCATTCTGGATGCTTGACTTATAGTTAAGGGATCGGAAGGCTTTAGACTGCCTAAGAAATTCACCTCGAATATCATATTGGGATAAGATATCTTGATAATACTTGACGAGTTCAGGGCCATATTTTAAAGAATGGGGTACTCTATTTAAATAGTGTATAAGCTGTCTTTTTTTATAAAATAAGAGACTTCTTGTAATGTTACGAGCAGAATTTAAGAACCGATCATGAACATGAATTATATTAAGATGGAAATCTTTTACGTACAAATAACTAAGTTTACATCCCCATAATTTAGATACATCAAGATACTTATCAAAATCAACATTATTACGAGAATTATTATATACATGAAGAAGAATATTATCACGAATACAGGGGATGCTAATAAATTCAGCTTTTCTTTTCTCCCGAATAATATACATAGACACAGAATTCCATTGTCTATTTACTCTAGTGCAACTCCTATAGAGGTCTTTCCTACTAAGAAATGCAAAGATAACTTCTAGTAGTTCGGGTAATGCTAGGGTATGATGCGCATTCATTATTATCAATTACTATGCAGGGCATTTTTTTTTCAAATTATATTACACAGATTATGCGAAACGTCTAGGATTAAAGACAGTCCGGAGCAGTGATCTACCAGCGGGAGCAGTCTCTCTGAGACCATCAGGCTCGGCTAATTTATTTTTTCGATTAAAGATACAGCATATATTATTTATGGCGCATACAAGTGTTTTTAATATACAGGAATTACTAGAACATATTTTACATTTCTTAGTAGTAGATAAGTCACTTTATCCCACTCTATTTGTTTGCCGACTTTGGTATAGATGCGGTGCACCTATTCTATGGAAACGCGTTGAGTTAAAGGGAAATGACTTATATCCTAAGCAATGTTTTCCAGATGATTATAATTATTGTGAAAAGGATCGCTCCCAATTAGAGAAATTCATAAAATTAGTACATGGAAAGCAAAAGCCAGTTTATAGTTCAAATATAACTCATCTTGAAATTTCATACTACCATTCACTTTGGGATGAAAAAATCATAGATATTTTGAAATTATGTCCAAATATAACTCATTTAGATTTCGAAAATAGCATAGGATTTAGTAATAGGGTATTAGAACTGATAGCGGGATTATATCCAAATCTGAAGTATCTCAATTTATGTGATGATCAATCGGGTGATTATATGAGCTTTCGTGCTCGAGAAGTAGATGATCTAGGTCTATGGAAAATTGCACGGTCATGCCATAAATTAGAATATCTAAATATTTCTCACCGCACTGAGTTTACCGAAATATCAATTTGTAATATTATTCATTATTGTCCAGACCTCCAGCATCTCAACCTTACCTTTTGTGAAATTACCGATATAACTATCGAAGAAATTGCTAGATCATGTCTTAATTTAAAATACCTTGATCTGAAGGGATGTTATAATGTTAGCAGAGAAGCTGTAGCCCGGCTTAATTCAGATATTCATATCAAAAATTTCAATGATCTAAAAAACCCTAGTCTTATTACCGCATTCAGCGATTATCTTAGACAGGCTGGTACTGCCCATCAGAATTTAGCACGGTCCCTTTTAGCTAATGCTTCAAATTCGAACGGAGCTGAAATGGGACAACAAGCCAGAATTTTTCATCAGAATTTGGCCCAGGCTTTACATCAGATTCAGACATCCTCCGAACATATTATCCCAATAAATGCCAGTTTAGAGCGGTGAATGCCCGCTCCTTCAATCAAAGATTTCGGGATAATAAATCAAACATGCTTTTTATTTCTCTGATCTGAATTCACAAATGGGATATTTTATATATTGTTTCAAATAAATATGAGAAAAAAAGCGCAATCAAGAATTTTTATTATACCAGAACTATTAGAACATATTTTACATTTTTTAGCGATAGATAAATCCCTCTATCCCGCTCTATTTGTATCCCGATTGTGGTACAGATGCAGTGCTCCCATTTTATGAAAACATATTGAACTAAAGAGGAGTAATGCACGAAAGATTTTTATGAAAATAATACATGGAAACAGAAGCCAGTTTATTGCTTGAATGTAATTCATCTAAAAATTCCATTTTACCATCTTTCAGATAAAAATCTCAAAAGCATTGCGGGTTTATTCCCAAATATAGTTCATTTAAATTTATTTGGTAGTGAGGGTTTTAGTGATAAAACATTAAATCTAATAGCAGAATCGTACCCCAATCTGAAGTATCTCAACTTGGGGGGACGTGGTGATAGATTAATAACTGATAAAGGTCTATATGCAATCACAAATTCATGCCATAAATTAGAATATCTGAGTATTTCTGATCGCAAGGAATTTACTGAAATAGCGATTTGGAATGTTATTCATTCTTGTCCAAAGATCCAACAGCTCGATATTTACAAATGCAGAATTACCTATACAACCATCAAGGAAATTGGATTATATCTTAAATTAAAATATATTAATCTGGGTACTGCTACCCGATATTTGAAAAAAATTGGCCAGAATCGGACGTGTTTTTTCTAGCTCTTCTTCTGAAGGTTCCAATTTATCTGAAATTCCAAATACTGCATCGGACATCATAGACAACGTTTCGATCGGTATAGTCTACATAGGTAAGTTGCCTGTTCTAGACATGGGCACTGACCGGCACTAGACTCAAAATATTTTTTTGCATCCCTGTGCGACAAAAAAATATAGATTAGCTAACCTGTTCTAGACATGGCACCGGCCAGCACTAGATGATTGAAAAATCTCCGAAACATATAAAATGCATACAATTAATTTACTTGATCAGCTTACGCCAGAACTAATACTATTTATTCTAAAAAATCTATCGATACAGGATCTTAAAAAATGTTGTACTATAAATGATATATGGAAAGATGAGGCGCTTCGAGAAATTCACAAAAGATTGATAGTGGATTGTACATTTGTCGATAATAAAATAACTGTTACGGCATTAATTGATCCTAAATCCTACTATAGCAGTATTAGTAAGGCGCTTGTCAAAAAAATGGATTTATATATTTTTAGGGAAGGAGGATCTGGATTTCCTGCAGTACAAAGACTCGGAATCGGTGCAACAAATGCTGGGAAGAAAGTGATGATAAGAGGATAGCTTCAGAGAGAAAAAGTTTCCGTTACTTTGCCAAATATATTTGATAGGCTAAAACCCCCTTCATATTTGGGAACTGATACAGAAACTTTCGTAGTTGTTGACAAGCCTGAATATGATGTGGTTTTAGGTAATAATTGGCTAATTGGGTTGGGATACGATATTAATAAACAGGATGCAAGATATTGGGAAAATAATGAAGAGAAAAGACTTTATTATGTAAGAAATAATATTGATATACTGTCTCCTTCATTATATACATTTTACGAATTATTATTCCCTAATTTCACCGCGATTAATTCAGATGGGGAGGTTATAATAACCAAGTTTTTCAAACATTATACGGCTATGGACAACCTTGATCTAAGTGAGTATTATGATTCAGAATACTCTGAAACAGACTCTGAAACCGAATCGGAGGATGAATATGTCTATACCTATAGTAATAGTATGCCTCTCCGTTTAAGATACTCTGACTAGGCCGGAGCGATGATCATTGGCTCGGAAGAATTTGCTGGGCCACAGATTGTGCGACAAAAACAGGCCGATCACATAATAGGTCTATGCGACATATTAATTTTGCATATATATTCGAAAAAGAAAACATACTAACCAGTACCTATATTTTTTTCCAAACAAATGTGAGAAAATGTGAAAGGGCGTCTACATGCAACACAGGACATACCCCATAAGTAAATAGTACCGACAAAAGCATATGTTATGAAAGGCTGAGAGACATACAATTTTGAGATCGCTAGGCATAAAACCAACTATGTCTTTCCGGTAGATCTACATGTGAAAAGGTAAGAGGATTCTGTTTACATGTGCTTTCATAGAGCTCTTGGCATCATACGACAATGCTAATCACGACTCATGCCTCCTTGACTTTTTCCCAGGCATATATAAAGCATGTAGGGGTATGTGGAAGTTCAGCCAACTTTCCGCAAAAAACTTTCCCGTAAAATAACACAAAATAAGGTATGTATATGCCAGAAGTTATGTATGGGAGCGAGTCTTTTCTCACTATAGATCTTGTATTTAGGAAAGCAAGATGTCTTCCGATGCAGATAATGTCAATATCATTCTTCACTGTCTTATTGTTCCGTGTGGAGAACTTCATGCTCTTCCACGCGATCAAGTTATGCAAACAGTTACAGTTGGCAGAAGCCAAGCAGTTAGCGTACTTGAAGCTACAATTTAAAGCAGATTAAGGGTACCCTTCAATACTATTCGCCTAAAAATTCGTCAAGTTTATCCTAGTGAGGCGCCTATGCAACCGCAGGATTTGATTTCCACTTTTTTTAATGAACAACCTTGAGCAGACTATTTCCATGTCATCGCTCAACCCCTCTTAGGCTCAGAATAATTTTCTTATATCATGTAGCGATATAGTTGTGCAAAGCGCCTTAACGGCCAATTTTTATGTATTGTAGGCCGACTTCTGGCAACGTTTTTTATTTCATAAATAAAGTATTATTATTTTATTTGTACATGAGAAATGGGTCATGTGTAATGATATGGGGTGTTCGATTTGCGAACCCGATCACTATGTAATATCGCACTATAAATCTAACATTTTTATCCGAACCAATCTAGCCTATATAAAAAACATCAGGTGATAAGTGAGAAGAGTCTTCACAGTTGGTGAGGCGCAGTGATTAGGCGATTGTTGCACCTATGATGTAATGTGGCTGATCGGTCTCTTGTGAAACAGAATAATTTCTCACATATAGTCTTGCCTCAGTATTTTTTTCGCAAATAAAATTTTTGTCTTCACTTACGCTAGTTTGCACCAATAAAATTTCACAAAAAATACTATATAAGCCAAAAACATGTCTATCACTTTACTATGTCTCATCAAAGGAAATACTCTCGTGAACGCTTTTCCTGTTGATATAGAGAAGGACCAGCTTGTTGGCCACCTCAAAAAAGTTATTAAGGCTGAGCAACCGCAAACTTTCGCTAACGCTAACGCTAAAGACTTGAAACTATGGAAGGTGACGATCCCTGGCGATCAGGACGATCATTTGAGGAATCTCTCACTCGAGAACAGTGACGAGCTGTTAGCAATAAATGATATTGGAGACTACTGGCCTACTTCACCACCTAAAAAACATATTCATGTCATCGTAAAATTGCCACGTAAGTGTCTGGTACAGTCTGTGCAAGGCTAATTTTTCGTCATTAGCCCTTGCATAATTTTAACTTATTCGTTTCCAGTTCTCAGCTTGGAAGAGGCGTTGTCGTGTATTCCACCACCTGTAACATATTCTTCGAAATGTACTACATCAAAGAACTCTACAAAGGTAGGTTAATGGTGACCCACCGACAAGTGTACTGCTTTGGAAAGACTTTTTCGAAGAAGTGAACAGGTTCTGCTTCGACCAACAACTGATATTTGAGAGGCCGAAATTTAATGATAGATTTGTCGTAGTCAATGAAGAGGTTCTTCGTAATGCCATTAATGTCAATATTTGTATGATATTGAATGATTTAATGGAACCAGATTGTGAGTATTCGATGCGACCAACTCATACTCCTGGCATACCGGATTTCACCTGTCACTATCTCATGAAATCATTGATCTTGGTGATCGAAGTTAAGAGGAAACATGTCTTAGAAGATATCAAAGAACAGACTTTTCCTGAGTTTTATCAGGCGGATGAAAAGGCAAGAATGGTGATCCAACAAATCTACAATTACATGGGAGTAAATGAACTTAGATATGGTATTCTTGCCACTTACGATAATCACTGATTTCTACGTCGTGAGCATACAGAGCTTTGGATCTCAAAAACCATTCCATTGCAATCAGAATCTCCACCAGTGCTTAAGGCATATGCTTATCTAGCCTGACAAGCAAAGGAGGAACCTCAATCCCTTAATCCTCTCCGAGTTCCAGTACCAGCTCACGGGGATAATAATTCACGTATTCTTCGATCACAGTCAAAAAATCAATCGGTTAATCAACAAACAACTTCCAGTCAACAATCATCTTCTGCCTTTGGCACTTCCAGCAACATCCCCGTAGACCAGCAAAAGTTTAGCTTTGCAAACTTTAAGTTTAAGGGCATACTAGGTGAAGGACGAAGCGGAAAGACGCTCCTTTGTATATTTCGTGGCGATATGATTGCTTTGAAGAGCGTAGACTTATCGAAGGCCCCATCATATGTCCTGGAAGAAATGCAAAAAGAAGTTGAGATTTATAAAGATCTAGTCGATATTCAAGGCAATTATATCCCAAAACTGGTCTGTTATGGATATTATGGAGGAGGTATGAGTTTCGTAATAGGCATGACCATTGTCGGCACTTCGTTGAGCGAGCAAAAAATAAAGAAACGGCAAAAGACAAGGGCTATTAGGGGATTAGAAGCGATCCACAAGCATGGCATCCTCCACAATGACATTCAGGAGGAAAACATCTTAATTAATGACAATGGTGACGTCTATCTGATTGACTTCGGGATGACAAGTCGGGAGGACACAAAAAAGAAGAGAAAACTTTTCGAGGAGGAACACCTCAAATACACTAACTTGCTAGATAGATACAATGCGTAAGAATTTATTATTACCAAATTCCTGTATTGCGATTTCTTGTAACTCTAGTTTCCTATCATTAATAAATATGCACTTTATAACAGACATTTCGTAAAGAACGCGGGGCGAATTTCCAAATCACGTAAATGTCAGGTGGTTGGTTAGACTATAGGATTATACATTAGTCATTAGCATAGACGTTATGTATCACGGGCTACGTCTCGAACTTTGTATTTATTTTTTGTCTGTATTAATAAAGCGAGTCTCACCTTTGCCACACAACATTGAATAATTTCCATCTTGTATAAAAATATTATTATCAAGCATGCAACCTGAGATTGATTCATCAGAACAAGAAAGAGTTAAGCTTTTGGTTAAGAAAGCTGAGCTCGAAGCTGAGAATGCTAAACTTAAGGCTGAGAATGCCGAGTATGTCAAGCTTAAGGCTGAGATTACCGAGCTCGAAGCTGAGTATGCCAAGCTTAAAGCCGAGAAAGCTGAGTTTCTAAAATCTACCAAAAAATATTACACAGATTTTGAGGCCCATATAGTAAAATTAAAGCATCTTAGTTTGGAACAGCCAGATCGTCTTGAGAGTATTGAGGCTTTAATTATTGAGATCAAGGCTCAGAATGCAAAAAATAAATCAATCATAGAAGAATATGAAAAAGAATTAGAATGCAAGAAAAATCGCAAATTCCAGACTAGATGTATCCAGATAGCTAAGGAAATTCTTAATGAGGAACCTATGATCGAATATCGCCCTCCTTTCTTGAATGGATTAGAGTTTGATGCTTTCTTCCAAAAATATCGAATTGCATTGGAGGTGCAAGGAGCACAGCATCGACTTCATAGCACTAGCTGGTATAAGGATGTTAAAAAACTCGAAGATATCGTTAATCGTGATCGGCAAAAACGATGCATATGTTAAGATAATGGGATTTCCCTTCTTGAAGTATGGTATGATAAAAAACCGGAAATTGTTATTCCCGAAAGAATACAAAAAATTAAGGAGTTTGTTTGTATAGCATCCAAAAGTTTCAGTCTCCTATAATCAATACAACAAACGAGATCTTGTGGCTAAATTGGGCCTGATTAATTTTTCTTGGCATTTTTTCGCTGACGGGCTGTGAGGAAAAATCACATGGTATTTTTTTATTTTGAATGCTTATATACAGTGTATTAGTTATACATATAGATCATGTCATCCGAGCTTAAAGTATTGAAACAGCGTATCACTGAACTTGAGACTGAGAATGCCGAAATACCTGATCTTAGAAGAAAGATCTCAGAGTTCGATGCTGAGAGAGTTGATCTTAGAAGAAAGCTCTCAGTGTCTGATGCTGAAATAGCTGAACTTAAACGCAGGAATGCCGAGGTTCTAAGAGCGAATGGGGAATATAACAAGATGCGTGATGCTGAAAAAGCCAAACTTAAGGCCAAAATCGAGGAGTTGGAATCTGAGTTTAGAGATAGAATCACGAAAGTGGAATAGAAGCAGACTCTAAATGAGCCGAGAGGCGCTTCGCATAATTCTTCTAACTTCAGTTCATCTAACTTCAATTTGGTTGCAGATCAGGTGCCAACGGTAACGCATCATGAGAAACAATTGGTGGATACTTCATTACCTGAAGAGGTCCCAGAAGGACCAGACAAGGAAACGGACGCTTTCTTGGATGAGGAGTATAAGAAAAAGGTTAGTAATGAGATTAGGCAGAGAAATCGGGAAAAGAAATTATTGCGTGAATCGTCTACCAAGGACTTATCTAGGGATGTGTTCGCTAAAGTAAACCCCGCCTCCCCTATAACTCAGGACAAAGAATCTCGATCACATAAGAAGAAAGAAGCGGAAAATATCGTGCAGGATGTATTTGATTTTACCATGGATGGGTCCGAGAAAAAACACATGACGGAAATTTCGCTGACGGGCCGTGAGGAAAATAATTGCCAAGAAAAGATAGAATCCCAGGGAGGCCTAGCAGAGTTATCAAGTTCAGACGTATTGCAAAATATAAACCGCTTATATGAAAATGCATGTACTGCGGAAAATGAAAGGGTAAAGGCTAATCAGGCGGAAATTCTGTGCTAGAGAAATTTTATTATAGGACTGGATAATAGTATAGATGAAATTATGATCAAAGAAAAGGTAGGCACGAAAAAGGCCAAAGGACTGATTTACGATTTTATTCTTGCACATAATCCTGATACCAAACGAAAAACTTTATATCAACGCATCAGTAGAGCCAGGAAGGTTTATGAGTTTACCGAAAAAATAGGAATTGATAAAATCAAGTATATCAAAACGTATAGTGCAAATTCCATTGCAGAATTATCTGATAGTCAAATTCAAACTATTGTTGATTATTTCTCCAAGAATCCAAACACTGAATTACCAGATGATCAGGATGTCTCTGACATAGATTCTGAAGAGGAGATTTCAGGTGATCAGACTAATGCATCAAAGGCAGTTTCAGCTGAGGTAAGCAATCCACTCGAAGCTGATGGCGATTTTTACAAAATGCTTTTGGGAGGTTTTGATAAGGAAGTTGATTCCACACCCCAGTCGGTGAAAGAAATGAATGAATGGATGCCAGACGATCCGGATGATGATGGATACGGTGGATATAATGAATATGGTGAATGTGATAGAGGTTATTACTATCGTGATGGAGGATACGAAAGAAAAACCTCCCCAATGATGAGTCCTATTATCTCACCGGTAACCGCCTAGGAGAATTATTAGGTGAATTGCATACTCGCATAGACTGAATTATCGTATAGGTTATTTCTTTTTTTGAATCACGTGGGTGGCTTAGATATCGTGCACAGTAAACGTCATTTATTCTTCTCCGCAGTAATACACTGCTACGCAGATCCGCAGAATATTCTATGCGCAGTAGTACGTCACCGGCATCCGCAGTCGTTATTTTTGCGTTACTATACTTATGAACATTCCCCAGAGTTCTGGTATGTTCTATCTCACTTATTACGCAGGTCTGAATTACTAATAAAAAAATAACACATCCTGATTTACATGCAGATCGTAAGACAGGGCGTTGTTAAAAAGAAATTCAAAAATGGAAATAGAGCGATTAGAATATATGATTTACAGATCCTCGGATAAACGGTATATTTTTATTATCCTACTGACGTTAGCGCATTCAAATTACGTGTATAGGCTAATCACACATTAATCCGTTTTTGAATAGGAATTAGTGATACGTGTGTGATTCGTCATCTACAGATTTCGATTCATGATGAACAAATCTTCCGATTTTTTTTGATTACAATTGAAATAGGGATAGGTTAATAATACATAACGAACTTCCTATTTGGGAGGGGCTGTGAACTCAAACAAAGATACACCACATGCGATCTTCTGTTTCGCAAGAGATCTTAAAAATAAACGGAAAATTTTGGGACATGGCATTGCTCCATTAGTATTACATTAAGTTGTCATAGAACCGTAATTCGTCGGATTTACTTTTAAGCTGTATTGTTAAATTCAGGGGAGAGACATTTGTTATTATTAGACGGGATCCAGGCCGTTATTATTTGCTTTAGGTGAAAAATATAATTATGAAAAAATGTAATTATGACAAGTACACATATTGAAGCAACGTAATTTTTATTTGATCTATTTAAATCGGGTTAAATTCTCTTTTCGCGCGTAGTAGGCATACAGTATAAAATAAACCCTTTTCCCAGCGCATTTACGCAAGAAAATTATTGCTACTAAAAAAATCAAGCGATATTATCTAAAAAACTTGATCCACCAATAAGATCGCTTCTCAATAAAATATACAGCGCATCACTTTATCTACATCATGTCCAGTTTAACATCATTCAACTCTTCGGAAAGCATGTCATTTTTGGCCTTATTCGCTGTTTTTTTACTTGTTAGTCCAGTATTATTCATGGGATTCACCACCATGTGGGCAAATATCAAACAGAAAGTCTCCGATGAACTCTATGCACGTGCCATCGAAATTGTCGAGTATCTTGATACACCGGAAATAGAAAAGACCTTCACTGAATTTGATGATAAGCTCACCGCAAAAGTTGACACGAGAATTTCCAATTTTAAATCAACATTCATTGCGGAAATCAATGAAATTTATGCCGAAATCAATAGAAAATTTACTGAGGAAGACGAAAAAAACAAGGCACGTGATGATGACTTCACTAAGGAGACGCAGTCAATGATCAGTACTGTTACCGAAAGGCTCGATAGGATCGAAGAAGCCTGTCGTAATGATTTTGGAAACATTTCGTCCGAATTCACATCAATCAAAGCTTCTATTGAAATTCTTCAAAATGATTTGGCCCAACGTTATGCGGTTGTCCGAAGAGCCGATTTTGATCAACAAAGTGTGTCCAATGAATCTGAAACTAATGGATCTGGACTGGGAAGTTCGCTAGACTCTGCCTCAGCTTCAACTAGGGCTCGACAGGCATTTATGCTTTATTCCTCCCTTGAAACAACCTGCTACTCTATTGTTTTTTACTTTCATTTTTTACTTAGCCGGCCGGCACTTTCTCACGTATTATTTTATGAAAAAAAATATAATAAAGATTTCACTTTGAATTTTTTAAATGTGTGCGCGTATTTTAATTGTTTTATGTGTATATACAACATATACATTCTCAAATATAAATTTTGTGTTCGTTATCAATGAAAAATAATTTGCCCATATCTGGCTTGTAATAAAAAAATTAAGCGCCAAACCTTAAAAAAGACCAACTCGCATTAAATGATGTAGGATCCACGTACTCTCTTCCTCTACATTTCTCTTACGGTCTTTTATATTTCTCATTATGCTTATCTGAAAAATCAATAAAATTTCTAATACATAGCAAATGTTATACTTACTGCGGATGGTATTGGAAATTACTGTGCCTTGTGTAACTGACTAACTATATCAATCAATCAGCACGAGTCATTTCCGACATGACTTCTTTCCTCAATGTCAAAAAAATACGCTTATTACTTTTGTAAAACGCCACCAAAAAATTACACCTTTCTTGGCTTCTATAAATATCGTCGTCAGCAATCTGACTTCACCTTTTCATATCAAAAAGAGTCCCGTAAACTTAGGTGCGATCTTGAAGAACTAACGAGAGAAGATTCAGAAGCAGTCAGAGTTTCTGCAAACAAGTTGATACAGGACTATAAGGTTATTTTTTTTTTGTGCTGAGGGTTTCGAACGTGGTTATGCGACTAGGAGGGACATCTGCGCTTTGACCCTCTGAAGATCTGCGTTTTCGTCGTGTATCACAGGATTTCTCTTGTGCACACAACTACGGTGGACATCTGCGCTTTGTTCACCTTATGGTCTGCGTTTCCGTTGTGTACTCGTTGCTTACCCTCAGCTTTAGTTTTATTTTTATTATCGTTCTAATTATTATAATTACTTCTTCAACTATATAAGAATCATCGTGAAAAATACCCTGATGTTAAGATGTTTTGGAATAACATAGAATCATCTGTTGCCGATTCGAGTCTACGATTAGATAAGGTTTATTACATTCCCATTTCTTGAGTTCCTATTCCAATTCAAACTTGTATTAACTAAATATGATTAGGTAAATACGGCTCGAACAGTGATACATGGCACCGAGATGTTGATCAAAACTGCTTTAAACGAAGTTGATAGCACACTGAAAACCGATGGAGGTTTTGTCTCTAATAATGTACCGGTATATTTACATATGTTCTTTTTTTGTGCCACTTGCTTCTACACCTATTCTCCTATAGTTGCTCATTAAACATCTCTATTCACTACATCACATGTGAATTTCAAAGAATGAACGACCAGCCGAAGAAGCTCTATCTGAAGGAGTTTCTCCAATCGGGAATACAGACGATATTATCAAATCCAGAACTTCTTCAAAAAGAGGTTTGAATTGTGAAAAGGTATAAATGCGTATTTTTCAGCTATAATTGTTATTTGCGATTTGTTACTAATGATCTACATTACTTAAGAACGATGATGTAGTTGCAAAACGAGGTAAAACCGGTGACAAATCACAAGATCAGGACACCTCCGAAAAGAGCACTGAGGATGAACCACGTAATACTCCACCACAATACATTTATATTAGCTCAGATAGTGAAGATGAAGAGCATAAATTGGATGAGGATGATGACAGATTCTTTGACGATATTAATGATATGAAAATGGTTTCATTCAATGACTATTTAAACCAAAATAAAGAGTCCGAATGGAAATTAAAAGATGGTCGTCTAATCGTTGATATTGTTAACATTAAGACCGCTGAGTTAATAAAATTAGCTTCGGAGAAAGAGAAAGAACGAACGCAAATTACGAAAAGTGTTATCCGGTATGTTCTCTACTTCTCTTACTTTTCCGAAATAGGTAAAAAAATTCTAACATAGTAAATACAGATTAGGGCTTTCGTCAATTATCGATTTATCTTCAGAATTTGATGGTGGAATGTATACATGGTTTGAGGAGGAATGGATAGATATTAAAAGAATGGTCTATGGAGTCGTTAATATGGAGCCGAACGCTTTCGAAGGAGAAATATCTAATATTATAAATACTATTGAAGAGGTGATTGTCTTCTGCGCATACATACATGTTACTTCATTACTTATTTATGTCTATTTTGACCATTTTAAGATGTGCGATAGTTACAAATATAATGAAGTTCGCGAATATTTATTTAAGATTAAAACAAACGAACATTCTAAAATAACTCAGCAAGTATCTGCGGTATATTTCTATGTGTAAGCTATAAACTTTTTTATACGATTTATAATTGTGATTACCTACTGATACTGTTAAATTTATTAAATTTATTGTTAGGATCGATGAATTGTTAAAGAACCCGTTTAAGTTTGTTGATAAATCCGGCAGATACCAAGAACTCACAGAGATCGAATATGTGATGTTCATGACAGCGCCAATAATTAACAATGTGTTTAGTGATACACTAGATTATTTGAAATTTCGATGGTAAGTTCATCATTATTGTTATCAATGTTTGTACAAGCAATGACATTTGATCGAATATTTGTATATAGGGGTGAAACATCCACAAACATCATGTCTGATCGTCGTCGAAAAATCGATTTAAGAATCGTCCACCAATCAAAAAAAATTGAACTCAGCCATTCTGAATGCGCAAAAGCACCAACTCCAGGAAAAGCAGTGCAAGATCGTTCAAAATGTCTACGAACGTTGAAAGGTGTCCTCGACAACTTGTTAAAAGAAGATTTAACAGACGAAGAAGTTCAAGACTCAAAAGTCTTAGGGTTGCAGTTTGCTGGTAAGATATATTGAACCAGTTAACAAATAATTATATAATTAACATTTTGTTTATTACATAAGGCTTGGATGGCCAGATAATAGGAATAGATCTACTTGATGATGGTCTGTATTTCGGATTGGAAGGACCTACTTTTAGTTTCCCAGCGCAACTTATAAATATAAAATGTCTTCGTGGAACGTTAGAGGCATTATATTTCTTCAAAGTAAGATACTGGCACCCTGTTATTGTTTTAATTTATACTTATTTGCCTTTTTATTTTCTATACTTTTAGCAAGAAATTATTAAAAAAATGAATCTAATACCCGATCCAAGAAGGGTGAACCACCCGTATAATCAGATATTTCACTCAAATTCGGATACTTTAATAAAAGCAACCCATTTCAAAACTGAATTTATTCGAGAAACACATTTCACGCCAAAGAAAAAAAGAGACGGAAACAGTCATACTCAAGGATCTAATGTTAACTGAAGAGACATGCATTCCATTCTTTGCTTGACTACAAAAAAAAACATTAACACTATACATAATGCATTTAAATCTGCTCTAAATCGCATTTTTATCTTTGCTCAACCCCTAATATAGCAAAAAATGAATACTGTATTTTTTACACATAACTAGAAATATGCTTTATCATAATAAACTAATAATTAGATGACGTTATGACAGGCTTAGTAGCTGTTATGAAGTTTTTGTATCTGCACTCCGCATACATAAAGTTTTGTCCGTACATATGTATGGATGTGGGAGTGTGATGATAATGAATTTTTTGATCGTTGCTAACGAAAATAAACACTGTCAAGTGTCAACCACGGATGAGGATCGCTGATGACGTTTTTTTTCGTGTAAATTGCACATCAAACTGTATTATAGCACAATCCTAGACACCTCGCCAGCATTTCCTTCTCTAAGGAATGACTGTTTATTAAAAAAAAATATCAACAAATGATTTAATCGAATAATTAGCTATCATGTCAATAGATCAAGGGAGGTGAAATCTAATTGGCCAATCATCTCGTGATTTATGGAAACTCGCCAGCTCCTGGAACTCTTCTAGAACTATCGAGGAACTGGTGGAGATCTCATGTGATACGATATACAGTACATCCATACCACAAACTGATTTAGCCTAACCGAAGGTGCTGTGCATAATATAAAAATAGCTTAGCCGGCTATGTATGATCCTATATAAATTTGGTTTTACTAGCATGTAGTCTCACAGATCGGCTACAAATCAATTATCCGCTAATCAATTAACCAGTAAATTTGAATCTGATATTTATTAGGGTATAATATTGGTAATTCAGCTATAAACTATAAAATCACTATATCTATTATAATCTACTAAAACACTATTATGGATTTAGATGGCAGAGCCTATTCTAAGCTACATGGAGTAAGCTATGGAGATATAAACTTTGAAAAATATAGAAATATAGTTGATGCATTATGGCCTTTATCACATATGCATGATCATGAAACACCAGAAATGTGGTGTTCTCGTATTCGTGGCCCATTTAGGAAAATACTTGAAGAGAATTCAGAAATCCTTTCTAAAAATGGGTATATTTCAATGTGCGGAAAGTTATATGAAAGTGATAAAGTCCATGCTCATCCAACCAATTATATATATTGTAGTGTATGTGACTCCTTAGTTTTCATTCCTGATACTTCTTTTAGCGCTCGTATCTATCAAGATAACCACTTGAAGAGATGCATTTCTGGAAATAGTATTTCGAATGAACATGCAAGAAGAAAAGAAATTCTCAAATCTATCGATAGAAGGGAATTTGAAATTTGGCAATACAAACAATACATATTAGGAGAAGAGGCTAAAATAAATCGTCTTCGTCTAGAGCTTTTCTCTCAATTTACTTCACACTCAGAAAAGGATAAGTTGGCATCTGTATCATATGATCATGATGGAAATTTTACAGCTAGCTATGAAAATTATGCACAATCTAAAGCAAACATAGCAAAAAATACTACACCAAGTGCTCCAAATTTTGAGCTAGCTTATATTTCACCTGCCAGACAAGAAATGGTTTCGCCAATTTCACATCAATCATTAAACTCCAAAAGTAATACAAGTGAAATATTTATCTCGTCTCGGTATGCAAAACAAAATAACTTACTACCATCTATAAATAATCATAATCAGCCCGCATTAAGATTGAGAGATGGGATAAAAATTACATTTGTTTAACTGACCGATTCTGAGTAATATCTTAATTATAGACTATTGCTTAACTGAAGATTAATATCATTTAGCTAAAGACGCAATGTATAACTATTTTTTTTTGCGAAATGAATAGCTATATAATATGCATGCATGATCGCCTAGTATAATTGTGAAATGTACCACCTGCCGGATAAAAAATATGATCTACCTATTCTGGGTTAGATCCTCCAATATATAACTATTTAGTGAAGAAGATCTATGAAGCAGTCTTGGGGATTCTTAATTGCAAAACAATATAACTATCAGTTTGAGAATTTCTATGTAACAGTTATTCAGCGAGCTTACAGGAATTACAAGAAGAGACCTGAATCTTCGGCAAAACGAGTTTGGGAGGCAGTGAGGAATCATGGTACTCCTGATAGAAAGAAATTCTTAGGTATACTTAGAAAAGGATAGATGGTAAAAAACCCTGAAACGCAAGAAGAGTATGCTATAGCTTGCAATGAGTTTTATGCTTTATTTAGAGAAAGTTACTCAAAATATATTGGAATAATTAATCCAGTCAAATTAACTCCACCATATGAGGAGTATATTTATTGTTCTTTTAGTAGATGGATAGAAGCTAAGAAATATCAGTTAAGACGACGATTGGATAGGGTAGCATACGGGGCTGTTGATTTCTACCAAAGGTTTACATTTGAATTGCTATCTACTATTGACTATTATGAAAAGTACTCAAAAAATCGATAATATCTTTTTACTACCCCGTAACTAAATTTAGGATTACACTATTTTTTTTTACTTTCACTCCGCCACAATGCATGTAGGTATGTGCGACATAAATTAGCACATTTTCGGATCCTTGTTACAGTATATATGATGTAATAGATGATACTCCACAAATCATCTATAACTCTGTGTGACTGCTTGTGCGACAAATTACTTTTCACACATAAGAAATCGATCCCCAAAATATTTCGAATTTTTTCCCTATCTATCTGAATAGCATTTATTTATGAGTTTATTTCCTCCAGAGCTACAGGTTATTCTTACTAGATTTCGACCGGAGTATATTTATATAATGTTACTAGGTCTTTATTACTGAGCGGTTCAAGTAAGTAAAACAAATAAAAAAAAGTATGTATTATGTATATTCCCCAACGCCTTTGCAATGTTGAGATCTACAATGTACATTCCGCATGTCTTTACTAACGAACATAAAATTTTGGCGTAAAGTGCCTTGCATATTTCCCCCCCAACATTAATGCGAGTTAAGAGTGTGTAAATGTGGGAAATTGAAGCATTTAAAAGGGCGATGTAAGTAATTTTGGTTACTTGTTGCTTCATTTTTTGACACGTAATTATTAACTAAACACTGTTAATATGATGAGCTTAGTTGCGAAAATCGAAACTCTTTTTTTGGATGGAACTCTTGACGCTATATGTTCCGCTACCGTTATTTATCTAACAAGAAAAGGGACGACTTTACTACCGCTTCTACAGGTTAAAGACCTAACAGAACGTGCGGTGAATTCCTCATTAACAAAAATAACTAATTATGAACGAAGAATAAAAGTATTAGAAGTTTTGCCACAGGTTAATACATTTCATTTTTTAATCTTCTTTTTTTTTGTGTATCATGATGAAATTTATAGCAAATGCTAGAGTTTGTTATTGCTGGTTAGGGATGCCGGCCCGGAAGAGCGACGTTGTCAGGAAATATTTTCTCACAATTTCGAGGGTTTCTGCTACCCCCTAACTATATTAGCAGAACAGAATACTCTAAAAAAGATAGAATCTGAATGTGCATTTACAAATGTGGGATGCTGGATATGGGATTTTTTAACTTTGTGGCCACAAATCTAACTTATCGCATTTGCTATAGATGGAGATTGGGTATAAAAGTGTCATAGGATTGGATGCCGTAAAAGGATTGAAAACCGAGCAAGAGCCCAACCTCGACCGCACAAGAGAGGAAATCGAACGAAATATAAGAAAATTACAATCCAAACTTGGCTCACCAATGACAGATGCAGATATATCCCTTTACGGCGCTCTTAAAACTAATCTAAGAAGTATAAATATTTCAGACCTTACGTGGTGCGATCCGGAGGCGAATATGATTATTTCTGATGATTCGTCATTAGTAAAAAATTTAGGGGTGAGACAGAAGCAACTTTTCTTGGAGCCTTGTGAGAATATGAAATGTGTTCTTCCCACCTCAGTCACTTCAAGATGTGATGAATTTGTAAATAACTTTAATAATAATGAAGTTCCGGAAGTGCTCAGAAATATTATACATAACAAGGAATGGAAGGAGGAAGATGATAAACTGATAGAACGAACAAATCGTATATTAAGCGTCCTGTAGGTAATTTTTAAATATCTCTTATATTTGATTTCAAAATAATCTTTTACTTTTCTTTAATGTAGAAGGGAGATATGGAAGAATCCGGCATTTGCAACTAGTGAAATGCGTAGTTCTCAAAGCGAGGGAACTTATATAACAGACGTCATCGTACCTTTACTTCGAGCCGGTTTAGAGGATCTCCCAAATGGCACTGTTTGTCTTAGCACTGCGGAACGGCAGAGCATAGCGAGTAAGACCCGAAAAAGTCTTGGAACGAATGAAGAAAGAATTTCACACCCCCAAAAAACTCCGATAGGGAAAAAGCCTGATGTTATGCTGATGGAAAAATGTGGTGGCAAAATTTTTGAAATTGCTTATGTTGAATCCTCACGTATCGTCTGCACTAATTCGAAAAAAGATGACGATTCCGTAAAATTATGGAGAGAAACTCAGGATGGAATAAGCTTTGTCAATATCGCTTGCAGACCGTTAAGCAATCAATTTGATATTGTTGGGATTCAGGTTGCCGGCGAAGAAGTATATCTAAATGTTTTAGTGAAAGATGCAAATGGAATACCAAGATATTTCCATCTTAACCAGGCTCAAATACCTTTTTCAAAAGATACATCATGGCGTGTGATATCCCTTGTTCATTTACTATTAACTTTAAGAAATATTACAATCGTAAACAAAAGTTTATTAATGCAGGCATTAGAGCAAGCTAACACACGTCCTCCACGAAATGTTAATCCAAGTCCCACAGTCTCCTCACCATTAAATGATAATTAGGCATCGGACTATGTCATGTATTACCACATCATGTAATTTAGTGTAATTTAGCATAGAAATTCTAGCCTATGTATTTTATTTTTCCTATATCAATAAAGTGCCCTGGTGGCCGATTATTTTTACATATATCTGTATTTTTTTTCGTATGGG